TTTTTTTTTTTTCTATAAATTTGATAGATAATATGTTTTACACTTTAGCAAGTGTTGAGAAATTGATAATCTCTTTATATTGATAACATTATAAATTAATATGTATGAAATATACAACCACACACACATTTTCTCTTGCTCTTCATTTGGCTTGAGGCATGTTTTATTCGATACCACGTGTAAATGGTGATATCATATTTTATACGTTATTCATTCAACGTAACGAAATTCTCGTCTGATTTCTTACATTACGAAAGTGAGGAGATTTAAAAATAGAAAACAATACAAAGTATACTCTGTTTTATTTAATTTGATTATATGAATACAATTATTTTATTCACTCACATAATTAAGGGGATAATAGTAAACTTTCATCTACTTAGTTATTTTCTCTTTTCTCCACAATATTAAATCAAACAAAGATTAATAACTTTACCATGCCTTTTCAATCACATGATCAAATCTAACAAGATAAAAATTTTTGTCACTACTTACACAATCTTTTTACTTTTCTCTCCATTCAAATTTTTACCAGTATTTATTTTTATTTTATTTTTTTCTGCCTCATACATAAATTATGGCCCATCAATTATTTTACTTTTTAAATTGTGCTCAGACAGAAGGCATAGAACACAGCAAAAAAAACACAACATGACATTATCTAAAGCAAAATCAATTGAATTTTGTTGGGTAGTTTTTTTTTTGGTGGGGCTCATGTTTTTGGAAGTAATTTTAAGTTGTCTTCTTTTAACTTTGAAGTGTTGTGGGTAACTTTTAGGAGGCACATATTTTGATTTATTTTTAATGGAATAATGTCGTTTTTTTTCCTTATTTTTCCATACAATTTACTTATATCTTTAAATATATATTTGTGTACAATTTATATAAAATATTTCAATTTTCTTATTTCTTTTAGAAACTATATACTTCAATGGGTGGCAATTCTGATTTTTTTTTTTATCAATTTTTTTTTTTCGATTTCAAATTGAAATAAAACATTCCACATTTCAACAACATTTTCCTATATTTATTTTTATATACATATAAAGAAAAGAAATAGAATAAAAGATGGGCACATCATAAAATTGTTATCAATTAACATTTTATTTATACATCACATCATTTTGTTTTATCTCATTCATTCTAAAGAAACAAGTTTCTTCACTTTTTCATCTCTATTCTTAGATGAGACAAAATATTTCAAATATATATTTCAAAAATTGTATTTCTATTGGACAACATTAAGCCTGCCTATTAAAGTTTGAGATATGAACACTGTTGCTACAAAAGAGATACAAAAAACTCTGTGTGTGTGTAGACAAAACAAAACCTTATTGTCATATACATAGCATTAACCGAATCATTACCAAAATAAAACGAGCAATCGAGCATCTTCCTCACCAGTTCTGCAGCTGAGAGGAAATGCTCTTCACGACAGGGTGATATTCCGTGTGAAGGTGTCTCTTTGCAATCTCTGAACCAGGTTGACCGAGCCACTCATCGTACAATCTTTTGACTCGAGGGTTTTCAAAAGGGTCGGCTATTAATACCTGATTAAAGGAAAAAAAAATTGGAATGAATATAAGGTGACCTTTTTAGGAAGCTGTAGGTTTTGTGAGAAGGGCACACGGTTATCAGTTGGGCTTACATTTTCGGAATAAGCTGTTTCCAAAAGCTGAATCAAATCTTTCGCAGATTGACCAGGTTTCGGCTTGATTTGACCTCCACCGTTGAGGCATCCTAGAAAAATATGACAAATGAACGAAAATATAACTCGAGGCTCACAAATATTCATGTCCACAATATAAAAATAATAATGATAATAATAAATTACTACCTGATGGGCATGCCATAATCTCCAGAAAGTGGTACTCACACTTTCCGGATTTGATTTTCGTGACAATGTTGCGAAGGTTCCGAAAGCCATAACACTGTGCGAATCTTAGCACAGTTTTACCACTTACTTCCAGAGTCACTTCACGAAAATCGGCATTCCTTATTGTCTTAAATTCAAGAGGGCCTTCAATTTCCTTCTCGAAAATCGCTTTCGCAGCGTGTCGGAATATTGTGTCGGCATAACCTCCCGAGCTTCCACGGACACCATAGAGATTGTCATCTTCATCTACATTTGACAATCTGTGTATAGATGTAAACACATTATCAACCCTCCTTAGCCATGATATAACCTATTCAAGATGATAAACTATAAACAAGATAGGATCTTTACTGTTTATCCACTGGAAATTCCTCCAAGTTTGTAAAATCAACTGATTTCATCTGCAACATTGAAAATTATCTACTTTACAACAAAACTGTAAAGGGAGATGAATACTTGGCCAGCCCTGCAGATTCAAACAGCAATTCACCGAAAAATACCTGAATTAGATCTAAAACTTCTCCAGTTGTCAATACCGAGTCAACCTCTGTAACTCTCTCACTATCCGCATCCACTTGGAAGACAAAGTCATCCCGAGCAGCCTCGAGCTTTTTATCATAACAAGGCATCACGGTAACATGATATATCTCCTCTGGCCTGCACACACACACACACACGCACATTATATTATATCCTCAAAAAGCAGTTTTCTTTTGAGTAAATAGAACCCAGACAAGCAATTTACAAGTGATTTAAATGGAAAATCATACATGGGAAACGATAGAAATTACGGCTAAAAAAGGGAAAAAATGGGCCTCAAGCTTTTGTCACTGGTTTATGGCTTTTTCAAAAAGAAAAAAAAAATGTGAAATCCAATGCACTCTTATTCAAAGACATACTGTCCAATTATATACAATATGTGCGATAATATAACGATTCAAATGTCCTAGCAATGATGCAAAATGAAAAATCACCTGATATGTAGTTCTTCCCATACGTGGTTCTTGATGGCAGCTCCAATAGTTTGTTGCGGGCTTTTCACCAAAGAAATATACGGAAGAATATAAGATCCAAGAGTCTTTTCAGCATAGCATATCCAACCTGCATAGCGTATCGTTCATGGACCACGACCCATCAATCACTACCCTAAAAATTATTTAATTATTATGTACATATTATGACACACATACTAATCAAGAATAAATTCTGCAGTAAGATTGAATTATTCAGGATGTGCAACACCTTTAATCAACATCCATCAGAGGACAACATCGTTAAAAAAATACACTGGATACCTGGACAAGCCGATGAAATCATAGGAAGAGATGATTTTGACTTCTCAGCATCGGCCGAATCTTTTTGTTTAAAGCGTGTTAGGAATTCATTACAAGACTCAACAAGCGTTAAATCTCGACTGGTACTGGTATCAAATACTGCTTTCACACCCAAAGACTTCAAGAGAGTTGTAAGTTTCCGAAAGACCTGGGATAGCATCCAGAGTATAGTGTAATACAGCAAATACATTATGCATAAAAGTAGAAGAACCAGCAATTTATCATCCAACATGAACCTAGCAACATCATACCTGAAGGGGAGAAAGTCCGAAATGAACAGCAAGAGACGCTCTAGACTGAGGAGAAAGGGACACAATTACAGCTTTTCCTTTGTTGAGGTTTGAAAGAAACTCATCCAAACTTTGCTTCTCAAGCATAACAGTCTCTGCAGATGTTATGCATCCACTGCACAAGAAACAAAAAGAGCTCATAACTATTTGACAACTCTCTCACACATACAACAAAAAAATCCAAACTTTAATCTTACCTGCAGGCTAAACAGTCTTTGAGTGAGATTTTCACCGGCTCAGTTTGAGCTGCTTTAGGAGTAATCCG